TATATATATATATATATATATAGTTTGGAAGTGTAAAATATATAATGACCAGCATGCTTCATGTAATGCTATAACATCACTGTATTTTTACAGTAAAGTTTTTTTACTGTACATTTAATGAAAATGTTATACTTATATATGCTTAATATGCCAACCTATTTTAAAATCATTTTGTTTCTATAAATAGAAATTATAATAACAGTTAAAATAATGGAAGACCACATGACAGCTTAAACGTCATCAAAATTAGTCTCTTCAGCAATTGTGTCAATAATAATATAAAGACAGAACACAGTGTTCCCACACAAAAACACAAAACAATATTAGGATAACACACATACACTAAAATAATGCAGTAAATATTAATATGACATGCAACATAAAACCCTCCAATGTGCATACCATACACACTTAATTACAAAATAATTAAGGCCATTCATATTTTGAAGTTATGAAATGAATTTTTATCAACTTTTTTGTATTAAAAATACATATTAAATATATGTAAATCGTCTCCAGAAAATATTTAATTTATACTTTTTTTTTTACATATCAAAAAGTGTTACAATATTTTACTACCAAATTGTGTTTTAAATGATAAAATCACATCGTATGGTAAGGTTAATTTACAATTAACCACCTAAAATTTTTTACTGTGATGTTTTGCAATCTTTTCCGTTGTAATTACGATTATGTTTATAGCGTATGCAGCCGAGTCAGATTTAGAGGCAATCATATTTACAGTTATTTCAGGCGGAGGATCTGTGCAGTCTGACTTAAGGTCCAAACGGGCGGCAGCATCGAAACTGTGTAATGGGGAAATCTCGTTTGATTCAGCGAACCTCGCTCAGTTCGAGTCCTGCATCCCAAAATGAGCCCAGGGCGGGGGCTTATCGCGCGCCTCTTAAGCATTAATGACACTGCAATTGTCTGGCCTCTGGACTGTCTGTCAACTGATCTCAACCAATCATTTCATGCTTGAATTCCTATGTGTTTACTGTCAGGTTTACACGGGGCTACTTAGCAAGATAACAACCGACCCCTTTCACAGATGGATCTTACCCAACATATCATATGCATGTAGAGAAGGCAGTCTTATTTACCGTATTCGCGAAACGATTACGGTAATGTCTTGCTATCAGTCGCTACTGTAGATGGAGTCTCGAACAATACACAATCATCCTAATAGCCCCGCGCATAAGATTTACAGTCGGGATCATACAATACACATATCTGCCATTTAAAATCTAAACTTTGAAACGGTAACAATTTTCATCCATTTTTTCTTTCCTTTGATTAAAATTGGCGATGACTCATATGCGCAAAACATAGCCAATAATCAACCACCATCTGCTCAAACTGAGCGAGAAAGACACCTTTAACACGCCTCAACCGCGCTCTCTTTCAGACGCTGAGGACAGGAAATATAGGGAGTCATCAAATATCGCTTAAGATGAAGCAAAGGTCAGCTGTATACACAGACGAAATTAAACAGAAATAAAGCCCAGCTGCATCATCTCACCTGCGCGTGACTGCATCGAGAGCGTGAAACGCAACCATAACTCTCACCGAAAACAGCACATAACCTCAAATACGTCTTCGAATTACATTTACACAATTCTTAATTATTTTACCTTGAGAAATGGACCATTGTGCGCCCATTGACAGGTCAAGCTCACCGTTGAACTTGGTTGATTTCCTCCACATCGATTCAGACTTTCATCTGATAAAAAAAAATCACTGCATCGGTGTCGAATGAGCAGAAGAAATGGGAGCGATAAAATTGCGTATGCGGATCTCCAAAGTCCCAATAGATTAAAAAAAAATCAAAATGGAGCCAACAACCAATTAAGATTCAGTACAAAACGGTTCATGCTTAAGAAATTATCCAATGTAAATGTTAGGGTTTTTTTTCCCCGTTGTATATAAAATAGAAGATATCGCTCCCTGTTCTGTGTGCAAGACAAGGTGCGATGTGTTTCTCAGGCGAGCTTTGCCAGGGACTGTCAGCACATCGCGTCACGTGTCTCCCGGTTAGCGTGTGATGCAGACGGGCGGGGCGGGGCGAGAGCGCTGCAGCACCTTGGACAGCGCTCACCGTTATTAGCAACTCCGCATACAGATAAGGAAACAGCTTTATCCGTGATCGTGTGCGCCAAGAATAAAAGCATTTGCTTACACTTTACATTACAGTGTGCATGTTGATAGCTAATATCGTCAGTTAAGAAGTCATTTATTTGTAATTTATTTTATAAGTGTGTATTTAATAATAAAATGGTCCTTAATAGGCTGTTACTATTTAATGAAACGTTTCATTATACTTGCACCCTATACGTGTTACATGGTCACTGTAATGTAAACTGTCAGTGTGCACTTATATTAAGTAATACGGAAGAATAATATCAGCATGGCTGTCATTTGGCCGTAGGCAGGAGCCCACGGGTAATCACAGTCGTGCTGATATTCAGTGCTACTGAAATGCGTCTGTACAAGGATTCTTTAAACAAGTACAGCAATTAATATCCAGCAACTTACGTTCCAGACTGATTAGTCCGTATATTTGTTATTCACCGACTAAATTAGTTCCAAAAGAAATGTCAAGCTGTGTGTGTCGCCAAGCAACACCAAGACTAAAAGACGGTCTGGAATAGTGTATACGAGTGGAGCAGGGTGACAGCTTTCTGCTTCCTTTTGAAAGCGTTATAATCACACGGATCCATCTCCACTCCGGGTTTTTTTCTTTTAAAGATCCTAATGAGAGAAACTCCGGCCTGAGCGATCTTGATGCTATTGAATCACGACATTAAAAAAAATCGCTGCAGATGGAAAAAATAATAATACTCAGACATTTAAAAAGCATGTTTCCCCCAATGATTAAATAGAAAAATATATATGACTTATATTAAGTTTATTTTAAGTGTATGTAGCCTATGGTACTTTCAGCAAAATAAAAAAAAAAAGTCTGCTTATTCAACAGCATTTGTGGCATAATGCTGTCATTTTTCACAAAAAAAGTGAATGAGGCCAAACTCTAAATGTCAAGGTGTAAATAATATGCATGTTAACACAATTTCACTGTGAAAATGACTTTGCCATGACGACGCAATGCCATAAACAAAAAAGTATGACATAAACAGCTTTCCAGGTTAAATTGTGCACAAGGTTTGAGAGAATATGAATGTGCAGTTCTGAAATATAAAGCTACACATTTCTGCTTTTTCATTAAACATTTTCAAACATTTGATGCAATACACATATTGTGAACACAACTAGATTCACATTGCATCTACAAAGGTTAAGGTGAGCGTCATGGGTAGAGTCACCGCAGGACTCCAAATAAAAATAGTGTATGAATATTGCATGCAAACCTTCCAAGCAGTTCACTACCATGTAGCCATCCACCACCTCACTCTTCTCCCCATTGTTTGCAGCCTTCACTGTCACTTTCTAAAATGAAAAAAAAATTGTTTTAAATGTTTTCCATTTTGCACTCTACATCTACAACACCTAAGTATCCAATACGTACACTGTAATCAGTTTTATTGCATGTACTGTGCATAGTAGCTAAAGTCACCTAATATAAGGTGGGACTAAATGAATTTATTCAAATTCATCTGTAAATAGCAGTTTGGGCACCATCTTGTGGGTATGGGATTTTTCAGAGAGGAACACCAAACAGGATGCTCAGAAACTAATATGTTCGATGTCCCCTCTTCTGCTCAGTTAGCTATCGTTTGACAAGAAAAGTGGGCCAAAGCTCTCTTGGGAACCTCCAGCTTTGTATTCAATAGTTGCATGGTTCAATGACTCATCCCTCCACATCAAAACATTGCATTGGTAATAGGCCCAGTTGCAACACGTGTGAAACCGGAGGTGTGAGTTCCTCAGGCACTTATGGTGAGGCATGAGATGACATGCATGCTTTTTGGGGAAAGCTTTGCTCTGTGTTTATGTGTTCATCAGCACGGATGTTGTTTGGGATGAGAATAAAACCTCATTTGGAGTACCTGACTGTTGTGAAAAGGGCTAGAATGAATCAGCTGTTTTGGTCTCCTTTGGCATCTGTAAAAATATCATAAGAAAGGGTACAAATTAAGGATATTTTTTCCCTGATTCTTCATGATTACTGTACATAATTAACATTTATCAGTTTTGTGTTTTTTATTCCTTTTTTTTTTTTGATGGACCTGTATCTTGATTCCATTTTATGAGTTCCCCAGAGTTCTTTCTAATTTCAGCAAAGTAATTATTTCCTCATTTAGACTTTGAAAATTCAAAGTCATTACTCAATACAAGATTATGTTAAGACAGCATTTTAATGGGGCTTCCCATTACATATCGTAACATCATATTCACTTATGTATTTATATCCCAAATGTTTACTATAACTACTTACAACATACAGCATTATTATTATGTCAGTTGTGCAGCGCATTCGATCTAAGCATTATGATTCCTCTTCCAAAGCCTCATGCTCTGTTCGCTCTTGGGCCTTTAAAGGTACATGAGAAAGAATAGTTATTGAATAATGTAAATGAATGAAGCATTGTATCCTTAATCTTCTGTTATAGGATAATACATTTCTAATAAGCTGCAACACAGTCTTGTGTCTGTTTGGCTCTGTATAGTTCAGGGCATCATTTTCATGACGTTGAGGAGGCACTAATTATGTCATACTGTTTACAGACTGCAAATTATTCTTTATTGCAATAGAGCCCTTTAGTTATGATGTCAATTTGTAGGCCAAACCGGAAGGATAATGCTCAATGGTTTTCCCTCAGGAATTTCTAATGGGTTTTTAAAATAGTGGTTTTGGATACATGAGTAAAATAATGTCAGTGGTTAACATTACTTGAAGTGACATTCCCATTGTGTTTCACGACATGATTTACAATGAGTCATAGCTCAAATGTGGATTTCTTTTAACCACTGTATAAAAAATGTTTAATAATAACAACAATTAATTACACCAAATGAGACCCTGGTTAAAATAATGTAATAAGTTTAAGTAATGGTAATACAGACCATATTTTACTCATAAATAAAAATAAAAAAAATAGAAATAGGGGTAAGACTTTAGTTAAGGAACCAATTCTCACTATTATAGTTGGTTAACCATGAATATTACTGACATATTGACTGTTTATTAGCACTTATAAAGTGCATATTAATGGCTTATTCTGCATGACCATATTTTAGACCTTAACATTAAAGCATTAGAACATAACAACTTACTTACTGACTATTAATAAGCAGCAAATTAGGGGTTTATTGAGGCAAAAATCATAGTTGATAGTTAGTTAATAGTGACAACTGGTCCCCAAAATAAAGTGTTAGCGAAATAAGGAACCAATGGTTCAAAACTTGAAATAAAATAAAAATGTTGTTGGACTATAAAGTGAACATATCCATTGTAAATAATTATGAGCATGAACACTCTAAGTTGATATAGGCATTATGAAGAAGCTCTCTAAGCAGATGCAACACAGTCTTCTCTTGATTTGAATCCTGAAACATTTGAGATTCTTTTCAGATTGGGAAATCATTTTCATGTTGATGTAAATATATGTTGAGAAGATTATACTAATCGTGCCATACTGTTCTTTTTACCACCATCAGTTCCTGATAAGGAATGTCAGACTGTTAAGCTCCCAATAAGACTTTCACTGGAGAGTATTACAAGTATAAACCCAAGTCCAGGCTTCAGGAACTATAGTCAGCAATCACTCTAGAATTGAGCCTTTAAATATGAGCAATAAAACAAACTGAAAAATAAATAGCTGGGACAGTCTTGAAATAGGAAAATCCACAAACACCAAGCTATAGTTGCAGCCTTTCAGAGCAGCCACTGGGACATGACCAGAAGTCTTCTGAGGATGTGGCATGTGTAATGCAATGCATTAGAGCTTGATTGTAATGTAGACCTTTGTCTTGTGTCCATCAGATAAGCAGAACTGAAAGCATTTCCACTATTTTCCAATGTGTTCCCTTCCCTGTGTGCATTAGGTTGTATGTAGGGGGATTTACATTCGTGTGGAATTGTCTCAAGCAATGTGTTGAAGGAGTCGGCAGGGTCTTATCTGGTGTTGGCTTTGTTTACTTGCAGAACAGGGTGGCAGGTTGACGAATGCAGTAATCAGATTTGGTAGAGATCCCTCTGCGACTGCATTGGGGAGATGTTTCTTGTTTCTCCAAGACTGGCATCCTGTCGACTACGCCAGCTCCCTCACAACCATACTGCCTGTGCTGCTACTGTGAGCATGGGCAAAAAGTTATTCTTTACTAAACTGAACAGAAATTCATGTTCCTTTTTCAGTTCAACTATTTTTTGGGCTTTTGCCTGTGTCCAAAAATCTATTTTTGTGTTGCATTTTTCAAATGTTCAAATGTTGTTTTTATTACAAATTATTTTATCAGCATAACAATTTCAATAAATTGTTAAATGCTGATAATTGTCACGTTGCACACACACGAGGGACGAGGAGACGCTGGAGAATATGTTGACAGGACTTTATTTGCATGAACCAAGGGAGACGAACACAGGAAGACGAACACAGGAAGACGTTCACAGCGGACAGAGAACTAGGGACTGGGAACACTTTAAATACACACAGGAGGAGGGGATGACGAGACACACCTGGGATCAATGAACCATCATGGGGAACACCTGGGACAAATTAAACATGGGAAAGGAACACCTGGGGAGCAAGACACAGACAAAACATGGAACAGAGTCTGACAATAATATAATTTGTAATGAAAATTTAAAAAATGTGAAAAAAAAAATTTCACAAGTGTATTTTGAACCCCAAAGTAGATACAGAAAAAGATGTGCAAAAGATGAAGAAATTTTGCCACTAATAACTCATTCCAGTGGAATGGTGGGCAAGCAAACCTTCTTGTGTTGTTGCATGGTTCAAAGGTCTTTGAAAATGTGTGTCAAACATCTCAAGAGACGATGATTTGATTTTTAGCAGGTGAGCTAATTACAAGCA